TTCAGACAGAGGAATCAATTTAAAGTTGGTAGCTTTTCACTCGGTGTGGCTGTGCCAGTCAGTTGGCTTTTCTCCAGAAACCAACACCTCATCAGAGGATTAAGTAGGGTACCTTTCTAGTGGCAGGAATGTGGTTGTTTTACTTGGAAACGAAATGAGGAGCTACAAAGTGTTCCTTGTAGAAGTCTGGAGAATAAAATTTTAAATAAGCAGAAAATGTTGTTCAGTGTTCTTTCATTTAAAGTTTATGCACGCATAAAACATGTTAAAAAGAGAAATATGAAAAGTATAAAAAAGAAGGAAAATGGAACATTTTTTTTTTCCCCTTGACACAACTCGGATTTCACTCATCTGAAATTTTAGCCAAAAGTTTGACTCAAACATGTTGGTTTCAAGAGTATGAGCTAACCTCGGTTTTCACTCATGAATACTCTGAGAGGTTATATGTACAGAATCCCATTGTACTGTACTGAAGTCTTCATTATCTTATTGTTCCAGCTGCAGCCCATAATCTCCACATCTTAAAGCTCTCCAGATTTTGGTCAGCAGAAATCAGTGGTGGAAAAGTATATTGATGGAATCCAGTGTTGGATCATTGGGGATTCCTCATCACAGCTCAACAGTCAGCCAAACTGGTGAAACGCATCAGGATTCTTTTCATATATGATATTTAGATATCCGAGCTCTGCACTGTCAAAATGCATTGGCAAAGCTCAGTGCTGTTACACAAGTGGAGTTACTCATAAAAAAGGACATTTGAGGCAGATGACAAGGAAATTACAAATTTAAGCTCAAAACAGATTAATTTGAAAAATTCTTACTTAAACCCACCTATTTTTCAAGTTCACCTATTTTTACCTAGAATTTGCAATTCTCTTATTTTCCCTTTTTTTTAGTCCTGTAATAATTTAGCAGTGCTGAATCAGGTGTGTAGAGTTTAAGTTTAAATGTTAACTTTTATATAAAAAATGTGGGCATGTTTCCCGGAACAATCCGTATTCCTCGTAAAATCTTATTAAATATTTCTGATCGATAGCTAATAAACAGCTAAGCAGCACATAAGGATTTAACATCATATTATTAAATGGATTCCTTGAGAAACTTTGAAACCAATGTTATTTTGAGAAGAAAGGACCAGACTTGTTTGAAATACCTTTCCAGTGATCGATACGCTTCGTTAAGTTTGTTTTAGTAAAGGTGCTGAAAGAATTTCATATGAGAACCATACGGGGATATCTTGTGATTTGGCTCTGGAAAGTCCGCCAACTAACTTCACAGCATCCGAGTGATAAAGTTCCAAGTCTGGTCTTGCTCATATCTCACCCCATTATCCTGGAGCTGCCAGCAGACTGACAAGTGGGAGTGTAAAACGCGCAGTCATTACTGGCATTGTGAGAATAATCTAAAGGCATTCTCGGCTACAGTAACGTTATTTATGTAGATATCCTTTTTTAGCAGCAAATATTATTTATTGAGTTACTGATAGATAGTTTGGCATAATTTATAAGCTTCTGTGTTAATAACGAAGATCGATATTGTGGTTCTTGGTCGGCCCACGAAAGTCTGAACTCAACTATGAATTAGGCACTTAATCACGGTGAAATAGAGACATGTTGCTGGCAACAATTTCTCAAGACAGATTGGTTGTAATAAAATACTATGTCATGTATATCATGAACCATGACAACATCGGGGCCAAAAACCAACAATAAGAGAAATGTAAAATGGAATAACTGATTCGCTGAATTTAGTATCACTCCACATTTAGATACATCTATCTATACACCGTAGAAGTGATATGTTTATCTTGAAGTTGTGGTTGTAATTGATTCAACTTCTACACTGGATGTACATCCACTAGATATGATAAGCCTGTGATTAAGTGCTATAGTGTGAAATGCATCCTTTAATATATACCCATTGCTAGCACATGTTTCTAATAAAAATGCAATACATTTTTTTTAAACCATATTCATTTTCCTAAATGGCAACCAAGGAGCTCAATTGTAGTTATATTTTACACTTTTCTGGCAGACAGAAGTGGAACAAATAATTTAAATGAGTACAGTCTGCTTTCTCAGTTATCTCTGATATAATTCCGCATGAGATTAAAGCCAGGTGTCTGACGTTGTAACATGAAGTATTGAGCCATAGAACCGAAGTAGACAAAAATGTATTGGTTGAGATTCCCTAGACAGCCAATACCTGAATCATCCCATCCTGGTGGAGAGTGATACCAAAAGTGTTAATGCAGAAGACAAACCAAAGGTAAAAGTGGGCAACAAAGATTACAATTCAGGTTGTTGCCCGTTGACGTTGACAGTAAAAGCCATGACGGACAATAAAACAAATGGCAAATTGTAAAGAAATAAACCAGCACTCATAACCCACCAAAACCTTTTTCTTGTTCCACCAAAAAGAATGCAAATTCTTCCAAGACACACTCATCTACGGTGAGAACAACACGACAATTCAGAGTTATTAAAGGGCTAAAAAAAGAGTACATTGCTTTGGAAACTGGTCCATGGGAACCGGTGTTGCTGTGTCCCCCACTTTTGTTGCAAAAGAAAATAAAAATTGGTATGGCAAGAACTAATGATTAGAGTGTGTTGCCATGATAGGTTTTGTAGTGTTCTGCCCCCACCCTGCATTATTGAGATGAGATGAGCTGATGAGATGTTGACTTGTAAAGATTTTGAAGCATTTAAAATAAATACATTTTTAAAAGACACACACAATTTCCTGGGTATAGACATCTTAGTCAGACCTGTATTAAGATTTCTGACATCACCCATTGGCTTTGTATTGGGTCCTTTGAGTCAGTGTGCCCTAAAAGATAGACCTTCAAATTGTCCTGTAATTAGGCTGTTATTGGGTAACAGATGAGGGGGTGGTGTCAGACCTGTTAAAATTTTTTATTTTTTCCCCCAATTACTTAAATCTAGGCATGCTGTATTGAATAGGACATGGTGTTTCGCTTGGTCAGAGCTTGAGCAGGCTTGCCTTAAAAGTCCCTATTTCAGGGTTCTCTGTCCTGCCACCACACATTTAATCCATGGACAACAGGGACTTTCTCGTAAGCTGTAAATGCCTGCTGTTTTGAGGCCCAACTAAACAGTCTTTCAGTCAGCCTGCTGTGCTGGAAGCCAGGTTGACATACGCCTTCAGTGTGTATGCAGGCCCGTCGCTAGCAATTGCTTGGGGCCCCGAGCTGGCCCGGGGCCCCAAGCAGAGCAGGTACTTCCTATAAGGCTGCAGCCGCCTGGGCGCTCTATAGAGAGCCTCAGGCAGCTGCAGCACTCCTTTCTTGTCACCTCCCCTTCCCTGTAGCGTGGTTGAGCTCCTGTGTCCTTCTTACTCCCCCTTCCCCCTCCTGTCCTTCTTACTCCCCTTCACCCCTCCCTGTGTCCTTCTTACTCCCCCTCCCCCCTCCATGTGTCCTTCTGTACCGCGCGGTACCCGGCCAGACTGACAGCTAGGAGGAAGGAGCTCGGCCACGGGAAGTAGAAGAACATGAGGGAAGAACATGGGGAGGGTAAAAACATGGAGGGGAATAAAAATGGGAGGTAAAAACATAGGGGAAGTAAAAGAGGAGTAAAAACATGGGAAGTAAAAACAAGGAGAGGGAGTAAAAACAAGGTAAAACATGGGGAGGGAAGAAGGACACAGGAGGACAGAGGGTAAGAGGACATGGGGAGGGTAGAAAGAACATACATGGAGGGGAGGGAGTAAGAAGGACACAGGGAGGGGGGAAGGAGTAGAAAGGACAGTAAGAGGGAAGGGAGTAAGAAAGGACACAGGAGGGGAGTAAGGAGGGAGGGAGAGTAAGAAACAGGGGAGTAGAAGGAAGGACAGGTAGGTGGGAGAGTAAGGAGCACAGGGGGAGGAAGAAAAGAACATAGGGAGGGAAAGGGAGTAAAGTAAGAAGAACATAGGGAGGGAGAAGCACAAGAAAGAACACAGGGAGGGAGGAGTAAGAACACAGTGAGGAGGGTGGAATGGCGAGAACACGGAGATGAGGAGAACACAGGGAGGGGGGTGAGGAGAACACAGGGAGGGGGTGAGGAGAAGCAAAGATGAGGAGAACACAGGGAGGGAGGTGAGGAGAAATGGAGAAGAGGAGAACACAGTGAGGGGGTGAGGAGAAGCCGAGATGAGGAGAACACAGGGAAAGGGGATGAGGAGAATACAGGGGGGAGTGAGAAGAGACTGGTAGGGGAGGGTGGGGGGAGAGGAAAGACCACTAAGGGGCAGGGCAGAGCTCTAAGGGACAGAAGAGAGAGCTCTATAGGACAGGGGGCAGGACAGGGAGCTTTAGATAATTTGCACATGTTTGTGAGAACTGAAAAATGTTAATGTGAGTGTGTATGTATGTGTGTGTGTGTGTGTGTGTGTGTGTGTGTGTTTCAAATGTTGGATTTAGTTATGGTGCACTTTTTTAATGTATATTTGATTTTATGGTACAGTGGTGTTTTTTTCAAATGTTAAATTGTTGAAAATGTTCAAATGTTATGCGCATTATATGCAACAGCAGTATTTGCACTGTAAACATTTTTTATTTATATAAAGTGTGGGTGAACCTAAACTGTATGGCTATGCTGTGGTTCCTGTAGGCTTTGCGTGCGTGTGGGGAGGGGGGGGACCTCCATGACCATTTTGCTTGGGGCCCCCAAATTCCTTCAAACGGCCCTGTGTGTATGCCACCCCTTATGGACAGATCCACTTATTATGGCCAGTGATGCAAGCTGTGTCATTGGTTGCACTCCCCTCAAAGTTCTCCCAGCCATCCCATTGACAATGTCAAAGACTGTCAGTAGATTCTATTCTACCACCCCAGCATCTTTATTCTTTGCCATTGTTGCATTGTTTTTTTTCCCCAGTACTGCCCACAACTATGCGTACAACATACATACAAGATCTAAAATGAACACACAAACACACAGCAATCAGAGACACACAGAAAACTGATTCTACACACTTCATTGCATAGTTTAGCAGCTCTCGGCTAGCAGAACTTTTTTAACAAGTACCTCTTATGTTAACATGCCCCATTAAGTAACATCATTGAACTGGCACTGTAGTAGCTCATCATTTCATCACTTGTCATCACATACAAAGTCTGAAAACGTCTCAGCTGGGAAGATGAAGGTGAGATAGATAGATGGACAGAAATTGGCCACCTAACACGTTAACTGAAATGTAGCACACTGTGAGTGGAGGCCCTGTGACTTCGAGGGTTAAAGATTTCCATCTACTGCCTCCTGGTCTATCTAGGGGTCATTCCTCCTTTTTGTATTTAGGACACGGCTGCAGATGTGAAGGGCGGTTTCACAGTGCGGGCTAATTGATTCGGCATGTCGTATAGTTCTCGCTAATAACTTCAGCAGTCTCTGCCTTTCCATTGTTGAAGGGCTAAAGAAAAAAAATATATAAGAAAAAAAAATATTTATATATATCTACAGCATCGTCTTATCTCGTTAGGAACTTGGCTTTCCAGCGAATGGAACAAATTAAGAACAGCTATAAAAGATGAAATTTAATAATACCGAGATGACGGATTGTATAAACAGAGAATGCTCCATGCAGGAGAGGAATTTCAATGTCTTGTTTCAGCTAACCTTTTCAGCGCTGGGAAAATTCAGGAGATTTGTGTCTAGATTGTGTGTGACAACTGGTTTCATTTGCTATATTGTGTATTGGGAAACAGAATTGACTAGACTCGGGATTGCAAACCTCAGGCCAAAGTAGCTGAGCTGGAGAAAGAGATGAGTTGAGTTTTAATTTTTTTTTTTACTCCTAGCTCAGCGTTTTTGGCCTGAAGTCTGCAAATGAGAAACTTTAAAAAAATATATATATGTTAAAATTGACAGAATTGAAAATTGAAATGGAATTTTAAGGCAATAATAGTTGAGTTTCAAGAAACCTTCAATTCAGCACATTACTTCCTCCTGCCAGGCATTCAGTGTAGCGTGGCCAAGTGGAGCGGAGGTCGAGAAACACCGAGGAGGTAAAGAGAGGTAGAGAAACACCAGGGAGGGGCCAAGAGGGGAGGGAGAGGGGCACTAAGGGACGGGGGGAGGGGGAATGGAACACTAAGGGACAGGGGAGTGGGGGCGAACACTAAAAGAGAGGGAGGGAAGAGGAACACTGGGGAGAGACCGAGAGAGAAACATTAAGGGTACAGGGGAGGGATGGGAAAAATAACACTAAGGAGGAGGGGAGAAGATCACTAAGAGAGGGGGACACTAAGAGACAGGTAAGGGGGAGAGTGCACTAAGGGAAGGGAAAAAGAACACTAAGGGGGAGGAGAGAAGGGCACTAAGAGACAGGTAAGGGGGGGAGAGGAACACTAAAAGACAGGCGAGAGAGGGGAAAGGAATATTAAGAGGGAGGGGAGAGAAACACTAAGGGACAGGGAAGGGAGAGGAGAGGAACAATAAGGGACAGGGGAGCGAGGGGAGGGGAGTGGATCATTAAGGGACAGGGAAGGGAGGGGAGAGGAACACTAAGCGACAGGGAAGAGGACCACTAATGGACAGAAAGTGGAGAAAAGAGGACTACTAATGGACATGGAGGGCAGGGGAGAGGAACACTAAGTGACATGGAGGGGAGAGTGGCACATAGGGGGGCCTGAGTGGAGAGAAAGACACAAAGAGAGACATGATGGGGGAGGAAGACACACAGATGGGCCTGGGGATGAAAAAGATGTACAGAGTGGCTGGGGATAAAAGTGACAAACAGAAGGGCCTAGAGAAGAGGAAAAAGAGACACAAAGGTTGGGGGGAGATAGACGGGCTGGGGGCAGGGCCGGATTAAGAGCACAGTGGGCCTGGTGCTGACAATAATGATGGGCCTAATTACGGAATCTTATCGACCAAAAACACTAAAACAGTCATACCTCCCAAGCGTCATGTATCTGATGGAGATGGTGCTGGACGGAAACTCATAGAATGCAGCTATAAGAAAACACATACTCTATGCTAATTTCTCTCTAATTTATGCTTTCATCTTTCAAGTAAATCCATAACCCCTAACAGCAGTGTCCAGTGAAGCAGGAAGTCAATGGGCGGGGTAAAAGGGTGTGCCACTGGCGCGAATCACGTGACAAGACCTGCCAAAAAGGGGGCATGTTTGTCCAAAGAATTGGAAGGTCTGCCTGGCATGAATGCATGTCAGGCTGCCTGCCAATCCTGCAGGCTGTCCAACTAAGGGCATACTATGCGGGCAGCACATTGAGCTTGACATAAATGCGTCTAATAATGCGCTCACTCCATGCTTTCCAAGGACTTTCCCCTAGCACTCGCTGGTCCACTTGTCTCCTTACCTTCTTACTAGCAGGCAGAAGTTCCTGGTATTTAGTCTGAGAGAGAGAAAAGGTGTATGTAGTGAGTGTAGAAGAAAGGGGACATGCCACAGAGACCAACATCAGCATTACCTAAACTAATTTTAATGTCAGCCAGCCACACAAGTTTTGTTCCCATACATCCCTCTTAAGCTTCCAAACTTAAAGGGACACTATAGTCACCAGAACAACTACAGCTTATTGTATTTGTTCTGGTAAGTAGAAGCATTCCATTCAGGCTTTTTGCAGTAAACACTGTCTTTTCAGAGAAAATAACTCCATTGGCTGCTCCTTAGATGGCTGCTAGAGGTGCTTCATGGGGCAGTACTGCCTAGTCTGCAGCACTGCCATTCAGTGTCTCCACCCTCTGCATGCAGACACTGAACTTTCCTCATAGAGATGCACTGATTCAATTTATCTTTATGAGGAGATGCTGATTGGCCAGGGCTATGTTGGACTTGTGCTGGCTCTGCCCCTGATCTGCCTAGTTGACAGTCTCAGCCAATCCTATGGGGAAGTATTGTTATTTGCTCAGACCACCACGTCTGAGCCAGCAGCTGCAGACTTGAATACAAGTAATATTTTACTATATTTAGGGAGGCAAGAAGGGGCCAGGGTGGTGGTTTTAACATAATAGGGTCAGAAATACATGATTGTGTTACTGACCCTATAGTGCTCCTTTAAGCAAGAATATGTGAAGAGTAGTTAAGGTTGCCACCTTTCTTGGAAAAAAATACCAGCCTTAATCATTTGTATAATTAATTAGTTATGCGTGACATCACATGATGTAAATCACAAGGAGTGACAGCAGAGAAAATTCTGTAAAATCACCAACAAACTACTCACAGTTTGATTCTGCCTTATAGATGGATTGCTCCCAGTGTCTCCCTGTCTCCCAGTGTCTCAGTCTCGCAAGTCACCCAGTGTCTCAGTGTCCCTATGTATCACAGTGTCAGTGTCCCCATGTCCCCTAGTCTCCCAGTGTCTGTGTCCCCATTTCTCCCAGTGTCCCCATGTCACTAGGATGCTGGGCACACTGAGAGACATGGGGACACAGAGACATGGGGACACATAGACATTTAGGGAAACTGGGAGAAATGGGGACACTGAGACACTAGGGACACAGACACTGGGAGACATGGGGACACTGAAACATTTGGGGACACTAAGACACTAGGGACACAGGCACTGAGAGACTAGAGGATACTGGGAGACTAGGGGACACTGGCTGGGAGACAGACATTTGGGGACACATGGGGACAGTTGTGGACATAGACATGGGGACACTGGGACAATAGGGACACTGGGACACATGGGGACACTAGGCACACTGTGAGACATGGGACACAGACACTGGGAGACTTGGGGACACTGAGACACTAGGGACACTGGCTGGGGGACATGGGAACATAGTGTCTCCGTGTCCCAATGTCTCCCAATGTCCCTATGTCTCACAGCATCCCCATGTGTCCCAGTGTCCCATAGTGTCTCAGTGTCCCCATGTTTTCCAGTGTACCCAGGTCTCCCAGTGTCTGTGTCCCCATGTGTCCTAGTGTCTCAGTCTCCCCTAGTGTCTGTGTCCCCATGTGTCCCCTAGTGTCTCAGTGTCCCCATATGTCCCCTAGTGTCTCAGTGTCCCCTAGTGTCCCCATGTTTTCCAGTGTCCCCAAGTGTCTCAGTGTTCCCAGGTCTCCCAGTGTCAGTGTCTCAGTGTCCCCTAGTGTCTCTGTCCTCATGTGTCCCCTAGTGTCTGTGTCCCCATATGTCCCCTATTGTCTCAGTGTCCCCATGTGCACCTGCTGCCTTTCCCCCCATCCCTCACTTACCTGAGCTGTAGAGCTGCTGTCTGGACTCTGTGCTGTGTTGCTGCTCCCCCACGGATCAGTGAGTAGTAGAGAGAGGCAGGGATATTCTGTAACTTCCTATCCCTGCCTCTCTCCACACACAGTGACCCCTACTGGCTGGTGCTGGTATTGCAGGGTAATCTCCATTTATTCTGAGAAAATTACCTGCATTTGTATTGCCGGTATTACTGCAATACCGTCACGGCCAGGCAGCCTCACATACCGGCTGTGCCAGTAAAATAGCAGTCAGGTGGCAAACCTAAGAGTAGTGTGTTAAAAAAAAATTTTTTTTTTTTTTTTTTTTTTTTTAAATGGGCCTATTCCATGGGCCTGGGCCTGGAGCTGCAGCTCCATCATCCCCTATGTTAATCCGGCCCTGGCTGGGGGTGAAAGAGAAACACACAAAGGAGCTGGAAAGCGTAAAATACACAGAGGGGCGTAAAAGAAACAAAAGGTGGGTTAAGAGGCACACAGATGAAGATGCTTTTTGGGAGGGGGGGCACCAAATCATCTTCGCCTGTGTACCAAAAAAAAAAAAGGGTGACAGTGGCAGTGTGCGGGGTCAGGATGTGAGGGTGACAGTGGTGGGGGGAAGGATGTGAGGGTGATAGTGTAGGGGTGAAAGTGTAGGGTTGCTGGATGTGAGGGTGACAATGACAGTGGTGGTGGGCAGGATGTTTAAGTGACAATGACAGTGGTGGGGCGCAGGATGTGAGGGAGACAGTGTGGGGTCACAATGTGAGGGTGACAGGTGGGAGGATGTGAGGGTGACAGTTACAGTGTGGGGGTAACGGTGGGTGGCAGGGTGTGAGGATGCCAGTTGGGGGGGAAAACTGTGGGGAGGGTGACAGTGGAGGGACAGGGTGTGGGGGTGACAGGGGAGGGGCCAGGCTATGATCAGCCTCCCCACACTCACATACCTTAGTTTCAGTGCTCCATTCCCTAGTGGTCAAGTGCGCAGGCTCTCCAGTCTGCAGCTCCACCAGGTGTGAGCTGCAGACTGATGGGATTCTCGGGACAGAGCATTGCCATGGTAACTGTGGTAACGCTTTGGGAGCTTGTGAGGCCTCTATTACATGACCTGCATCTCACTCTCAGCTGAGCTGGAGACCAGGGCAAGCCATCAGGCCCCCTCCTGATGTTGGGCCCTCGATCACTGACCAAGGACCCGATGAATCAGTCTGCCCCAACTAGAGAGCCGCCTCGCTGCATATATATGCCGCCCCTTTTAAAGTGCCGCCTGGGACCATTGCCCCTGTCGGTCTTATGGATAGGCCGAGCCTGGATAGTAGGAATTTATAGGTGTAGTTCCTTCATGTTTTTGTTGAACTAATGTCAATGTCACACTTTTTATCCCATTTTTGTTGCAAAAAATCTAATCTGTTTTTGATCTAAGATCAAGTACTTGTGAATATGTGTGTGCAAAATGTATATATATTTGAGGTCAAAAATTCAAAGCATACAATAAGGATTAAGTTATACTAGTAGTAGCAAGTCGGTTGAGGTGTGCTGAAACCGACGAACGGGGTAGGGCCTGAAAAGAGTACATATACCTATTAGAGTACATATATAAAAAAGGGGAGAGGGGGAGGGTTTGTAAAACGTAGGCCGAATGCCAGTAGGAGGCTATGAGGAGGGAGTACACTTAGGCCAGCAACAAACCTCTCCCACAACTCCAAGAAGCCTTATATATATATACAATACATTGCTAATGCAAATAAGTCTGATGCCCGACACCTGTCTTTGCTCATTTGCTGGGAATTCTAGGATAGTTGTGGAAACATGATTTCTCAGAAATGATGTACCTCCTCGCCCTAAAGATACGCACCCTGCATGTTTACTAGACCTCTGTCTCACATACTCATTCTAAAATACTTCCCTAAAAGGTGACACCTGGACTACAACTGGCAGACTCCTGTTCTTCTCTTAATGCATATCTCCCTACATTTCAAAAGGACAGAAAAGGACACTTTGATTTTAGGGGTGCGAGTGGGGCTGAGGCCTGGGACGGGGCTGTTCTGAGAAATTTTCGGTGACCGACTAATAACAATTCATGGAACTAAAATGTAGCTTAGAACAAGAACAATGTATCTAATTTACAGAGACTAATTCCAAAACACATTTATTGTAGTTTAAATACACATTACAATGAGTATCATCTCTGTGGAGCTCTGTTATACACTCAGACACACATACAATATGGAGCCTCTAGAAAAGAGCGAGATTAGGATAGAAAAGAGGGACAGAGGGATATGGGTGCAAAATAGGGACTGTCCCTCCTAAATAGGAACACTTGGGAGATATGCTTAAAGTCCTACTGTGCAATATTTATGGGTAAATGGGCGGGGCCTGATAGCCGACCGAAATAGTCGCATGGTGCTGGGGCTCCTCAGGGCAATCTCCTTATAGGGCTTAAAATTGGACTATATTGTCCACTTTCTTGGCCAACTCTTGCCTCAACCCTGGGGAACATTCTGCCGATCACTTGGCACCACTTTGCCTGCAGCCGGCATACAGAGCCTGTGATAGACCTATCTGTGGACTGCAATTATACTTAAGGATGGAGAGGCCTGAAACTTGCCTGCTTAGAACCCCGTTACCTCCCCTTTGGACCGGTGGGGGGTATCCCGGCCCACTGAGGTTTTAAAACAGCCACCTTGCCAAGCCCTACAATCCAGAGAGTTGGGGCCTGACATCTAAAATGGTCAACCTGCCGGAACCTGCAGCCCTGACCACCTCCCCACTGCCGCCTACGAACATGGAGCTGTTACTTCTAGCATTTGATCGTACATGTGATAGGTTCTGGGAGAGGCTCTATGGTAAGGAGCCTACCTCTCCTGCTGCTAACAGATGTGTGGCATCCCGAAGCAGCCCTAATGATCATATCTGCCTTAATATGCATCTCCCACATGTCTCCCGAGCGGAGCAGTACAGGCGAAGGAGCAAGAAGCTGCAGCAGATGCCATCAGTGGAACTTCACCGGCCGCACCCACATGCCCGTTACCGCTTGTCTTGACTCCAGAGGAACAAGATCCTTCGCCTCCAGTATGGCCAGTGCAACTCAGAATTTTCTGGTTCATGTGGCTGGGCTCTGGGCTGCGCATTGTGTATACCGGCTCCAAACGAAGTCCGGGCACCCTCCCTGGAAAAGCTTACTGCTGACTCTATTGGGGCTTGTCCTCCATGGAAGGACTTTATTGTGCTGGATGGCAATGGGGAGAGCTGGGCATCTCCATCTCTGGGCATAGGTTAGGGGGCATAAAGGCATTACCAGCAGCTGGGATAATTTTCTGAGGTTCTCCCAAGGCACAATGTTATCTATGATTCAGAAGTTGTAATCTAGTTTTCTGCTAATACTGATTAACTGCAATACTTTCATATACTCACCCAGTGGTATCTATCTAGTGAAATCTTTCACAGCTCTACAGTGTCTTTGGTATTTCCAAATCTCTCTCAGTTTCCAATACTAGCACTGTAGCTCTGATATCTCATTAAATTTTATTTTATTATAAAAAGTGTTTTCCTAATTTCGACATGTTTGATGATCTTGATTATCACATAATATCAAATATGCAGAATTTTTGAAGCCATGTACCAGTTTATTTTTTGTGTTGTCATACTTGTTGATACTGTTGTGGCATTACAAGTTGCTTGTATTCTCAGCCATGCGCAACAAAAAGAATTATAAATTTTTTTTTACAAATAAATTAAGTTTCTGGAGTATTTCGGTACTTCCTTTTTGGGTACTTTGTGCAAAACCGGATAAAATGTCACAGATACAAAAATGTTAAATGTAGGTGGCTTTTTCCCTTTTTTTTATTATTTTGAAGTGGATTATTAAGTGTTTGCATTTTTATACTGCATTATCCCCACAGTGTATTAAAAAATAAATAAAAAATCCTGGAGTTCCATTAAATAATGTCAGAGTGAAACTTTAATAACAAGAATCATTTTATGGATTCTATGGTTTTAAAACTGAACTAATCTCAAAAGTGACAGATGTTCTTTAAACTGTTTATATGGGAAAAGTACATGACCCAAGGCAAAACAAAAAATATATATATTTTTCTTAAAAATAAAATAAAAAATCGTACCTTGCAGGGATTATCGAAGGAGGAGATGAAGTGGCAGAATTTGTTATTTTCTTGTTTGATTACACAGATGTAGAATCCTTGAGGCCTGTTAGCATGTTACGGATTTCATTATATGATTTGCCTTATAAACCAGAGACTCAGGAGCTTTTCTATGGTCTTACGGCATGCCCCAGGTATGTGCCTCGATCTGCAAGAAATCTTTTAACCACAACTGGTAGATCTCTTGCTGGATTGAACACAATGCAGCTGGACGCTGCTATAAAAGCCACATCTCGGCCCTTCGTCTTTATATATATTTTTCTTAAGACTGTAAAAACAAGGGCATTTGACCTCAAATCTACATCAGTCAGCCAATATGCACAACTGTTCTTTAAAAGGGAGATGGTCATTTAATAAATTTATGTAGCCCTCTTTCCAAATAAAAACTAATGTCGGAATTGGCATTAGATAAGACAGGACTAGCCTTTTAATTAGAGCACGGGCCCTCCCTTTTTAAATAGACAATTTAGTTGCGGTGATGTCTAATGTTCCTACGATGAGTGAAGTCATCGTGACTTTCTTTTGACCATCAGGAGGGAGAAGGTCATCGAGAGAACACTGTCCACCGGAAAAAAGCGAATGCAACTACACATGATGAAGTCATGATTTCATGGGATTTTATCCTGGTAGACATGGGATAATAGGAAAAAGCCTGTGATTGACGGATATGTTCTAGATAATGTTCTGAACTCCAGAAGGTGAACTTTGGTTGATTTATTGAGCCACTAGTATATGTTGTATAAATTAAGGATTGACCATTATGTTGTTTATTTCTACCACATCTGCTGTTAGGTGGGGTGATATTCTGTAGCCCTATGGAGCAAGCACAGCTTAGGGGAAAGGGGCCTCTACAAAACGCTGGAGTTATTTATGCCATATGTCTACCTGCAAGGGGAGAAGCATTAACAAAATATGGAGACATTGAATTAATTTTATGAAATAGATAAATGAGCCAGTTATATTTACTCTGCCCTTAAAAATCCTATCTTCTGCCTATCCACAATATTGAGATGTTATCGTTGTACCTTACAGGTGGCTGGAATAAAAAGGTTTAACTGTATTGTTGATTTGCACTTATTTACTCAGCCTGTTACAATATTGAAAGCTCCATGAGACATCAGAAAGCAGAATACATAATTTCGCCTTCATAAATACCACATGAAAATTGTCCATCAAAATTTCTCTGTCAAAATGTTATACAATTTGTTGATCATCACCAGGGCCGCTATCAGGGGATGACAACCATAATGGTTGTCACGGGCCCGGCGTTCCCAGGAGGCCCAGACACGCAGAAGATTACCAGTACAGAGGCAAGGAGTCCCTCTCTCCAATGTACATATATAAATAGCGGCTACAAAGAGTGGCCCAGGACATTGAGCTCCTCCTTCAGGAATCTCGCGCAGTCAAACTCGGCAGTCATTATACACACACAACTACCGAAACACACACTCTGCAGTCACTATATACACACTACATCCACTACACAAACACACACTCTGCATTCAGTATACACACTACATCTAATGCACACAAACACACACTTTGCATTGACTATACATACTCTGCAGTCATTATACACACTGCATCTAATACACACACACTACATTCACTACACAAACACACACTTTGCATTCACTATACACACACTACATCCACTACACAAACACTCTGCATTCACTATACACACTGCATCTAATGTACACAAACACACACTCTGCATTGACTATACATACTCTGCAGTCATTATACACACGGCATCTAATACACACACACACTACATTCACTACACAAACACACACTTTGCATTCACTATACACACACTACATCCACTACACAAACAAACACTCTGCATTCACTATACACACTACATCCACTATACAAACACACACTCTGCATTCACTATACACACACTACATCCACTACACAAACACACACTCTGCATTCACTATACACACTGCATCTAATGCACACAAACACACACTCTGCATTGACTATACATACTCTGCAGTCATTATACACACGGCATCTAATACACACACACACTACATTCACTACACAAACACAAACTCTGCATTCACTATACACACTGCATCTAATGCACACAAACACACACTCTGCATTCACTATACACACACTACATCCATTACACAAACAAACACTCTGCATTCACTATACACACTGCATCTAATGCACACAAACACACACTCTGCATTGACTATACATACTCTGCAGTCATTATACACACGGCATCTAATACACACACACACTACATTCACTACACAAACACACACTTTGCAGTCACTATACACACACTACATCCACTACACAAACACTCTGCATTCACTATACACACTACATCCACTACACAAACACACACTCTGCATTCACTATACTCACTGCATCTAATGCACACAAACACACACTTTGCATTCACTATACACACACTACATCCACTACACAAACACACACTCTGCATTCACTATACCCATTCTACAGTCATTATACATACAACATCTAATACACATAAACACACATTCTGCATTGACTATACACACACTGCCAGGCCTGGACTGGCAATTGGGCACACCGGGCAAATGCCCGGTGGGCCGCGGTGGCCATGGGCCAAGGCCGGCAGGGGAGATCACAGGATCTCCCCTGCCGCTCTATACAGGGCCGGCACTATCTGAGCCCCGGCCCTGCAGTAGTCCAGGTCAGGCCGGTGGTGAGATTAAAGATATATTGCAGCCGGCGGGGGAGAGAGGGAGGGAGACAGGAGAGGAACCCGGAGGAGGAGTTCTAACTTACAGCTCCGCCAGGTTCCTCTCGCGAGATTCAGAGCATTGCCATGACAACGCTCTGGGTATTGTGAGAGTGAACTCTAGCCCCACAGGCTAGAGTTGACTCACCACTAGGACCACCAGGGATGGCAGCATCACGATCGCCCCTTCCAGGCTGAAGGTAAGAAGGGAGGGGGGATATAATCACACACACACTGCACCCCTCACACTCACAGCACCCTCACACACACACAGTGGCGTACACACAATCCATGGGGCCCCGGTGCGAAACTGATCCATGGGCCCTCCCCTATTTCCCCCCCCCCCCCCCCCCGACAGGGACACACACACACACACACATAGACACATGCACGCCAAACAGACAGGTACACATATATACATACAGACAGACACACACAGACACATACATAAAGACAGACACAGAGAGGCCACACACACACACACAGACGGACACACACACAGAAACACACATGCAGACTGACACACATATACAGGCACACAAACAGACAAATACATACAGACACATACAGACAGACACACACATACAGATAGGCACACATACACACAGGCAGACACAGACAGACACACACATACAGACAGGCATACATACATACATACATAAACATACACACACACACACACACAAGACGCACATACATACATACATACATACATACAAACAAACAGACAAACAAACACACAGACAGACATACAGACAGACATACATACACAGACAGGCACACATACAGACAGACAAACACACATACATACAAAGACATACATACAAACAGGCACACACACAGACAGACACACATACATACATACATACAAACACACACACACAATATTTAAGTCACCCTCCTGTTTCTTACCTCTTAGGTGCAGAAGGATGACTGGGATCCAGTGGTGGCTCAGGTGGATGGGAGTCAGAGTTCCTACTCTGACTCCCTGGTCTTCCTCCAGCGGCTCTCAATGTTAGCTGGGAGGAGTGAGTGTATTTCTCTCAATGTTAGCTGGGAGGAGTGTATTGCTTGTGATGTCATCACAGGGGGCCCGGTCGCGCTGTTAAAGCGACCAGTGCTGACTGGGCCCACTTGCAATCCATATCCATCAGGTGGCCCTGACAGCGCCGCAAAAGATAATGGCGTGTACCCGGTCGCAGGGGTCCACAGGGCGGCCGGGCCCCCTGTAGTGACGGGCCCAGTTGCAGCTGCGACCCCTGCGACCGCGGTATGTACGCCACACACACACACACACTGCACCCCTGACACTCACAGCACCCTCACTCACACACACACACACTGCAGCCCTGACACTCACAGCACCCTCACTCACACACACTGCACCCCTGACACTCACAGCACCCTCACTCACACACACACACACACTGCACCCCTGACACTCACAGCACCCTTGCTCACACACACTGCACCCCTGACACTCACAGCACCCTCACACACACGCTGCACCCTCACACACAGCTTCCTCACACGCATAGTACCCTCACGCAAACACAGCACCAATCGCTCACACACAGCACACACACACTGCACCCATCACACACAGCACCCTTACCCACATAGCACCCTCACACAAACACAGCACCCATCACTCACATACATACACTATACCCCTCACACACACACTGTACCCCTCTTGCAAACACTCTCTCTCTCACACACACACACACACACACTGCACCCTCACACACACACTGCACAATACGCTTTCCTAGCATTTTTGTCTACTGGTATCCCATCTATGGAAACACCAGAGACAAATTTCAAGCAAACTCAGTGCAAGCATGTTATTACATTTGCTTGGCTGTGCAGAACAAATACAGGGACTTTTTCTCATGCTAGAGTCTTTCAGCAGAGCTCTGCGCATGGTCTGCCCTGCAAGAGCATTGGAAAAACATGCTCACTTTGTGATGGGGCGTGCCTGTCAATGGTGATGACAAAACACACCCTATCTGGGACCTGCACCCTTTTTAGTGTGCCGCTGTAATTAAACAAAAATCTTCCCAGTCCGGCCCTGCACTCTGCAGTCATTAGACACACTGCATCTAATACACACACACTACATTCACTACACAAACACACACTCTGCATTGGCTATACACACTCTGCAGTCACTATACACACTGCATCTAATACACACAAACACCCCAAAATTTCTGATTGCAGCCCTAATCATCACATTTTGTATTTATTTAAAATTTGATGTCATTGTATGAAGTACACCAACATATTCATCATTGTTCTGCATCTCTTAGCTACAAAACCTCTGCATCACATAAACTCAATGTGCATCAATTTCAGGGGGACACCATCCCTTTGCTAGGACTTACATTTTTTTTTTTTAAATGACGCTACATATTCACTTCATCTTCAGTGACACTAAATTATTCTGGTAAATTTTTGATGCATACA